AAAAAGTAAATCAGAGCTAAAAAAGTGTAAAAACGCAGGCAAATTTGCCTGTATTCTACTACAATCTAAGGGATATGCGTATATAGGTAGTCAAGTATATCCACAAGTACATTTATAAGGGTCATGATAGAACCACAATACAATTTGGACATGAACCTGATGAAATCAAGCAATACCTTGATACTAGATATATTGGTGCATCAGAAGCAGTATGGAGACTATTCGAAATGCATTTATATGAAAAATATCGAATATTGTGAGATTAGTATTGTACCTTCCAGGGATGCACCAAATTGTCTTTAACCCAAATGATGATGCTTCGCATATTCTTTCTCTTGAAGATCGTAAAAGAACAACCTTTACTGAATTCTTTCAGACATATGCCGATTTGGAGTTTGCTTGCCAATTTACATATCTTGAGTTTCTCTAATATTTCGTGTGAAATAAAGCAACCAAAAAGTGGACAATTTGGAAAAAAGAGTTTGCTATCGGTCATTTGTATTTTGCAGATCCTTCTGCTAGAGAATGATATTTTTTTTGGTTATTACTAATTAATGTTCATGGTTCGCATTTATTCGATCACTTAAAGACAGTTAACAATATTTTATATCTGACTTTTAAAGCTATATGTATAGCTCTTGGCCTATTAGAAGACAATAGAGAATGGGATCAATGTTTAAATGAAGCACTCACTTTGTGTAGTGGTTCACAATTAAGATCACTTTTTGCGATTATTCTTACCTGGTATACTCCTACTTATTCTGAAAGATTATGGTTAAAATATCGTGATAATATTTGTGATGACCTTGCTTATTAATTATGTTTAGAATATGCTATCGAATCATCTACTGAGTTACAAATCTATGACTATGGGCTCTTTTTTATTGATAAAATTCTCATTGCCTCAAATCACTTACTTTCTGGATCTTCTCCAATACCAATATAGAAGCATAATTGAGATCTTAGTAATGAAAACCATTTTATTTCAGAACAGTTAATGTGGGACTGTAATAAGCTTCGAAAGTTAGTTAACAATTGGACTCCACTATTAAATAATAAACAACATACTGCATATCAAAGTATTCTCGATTCTGTAACAAATAATCATAAAAATTTGTTTTTTTTGAATAGACTTGCTAGAACTAGCAAAACTTTCATTTATAATATGCTTGCAATAACAGTTCACAGTAAAGGCAAAATTGCATTTTGTGTAGCTTCTTCGGACATTGCTGCTCTTTTACTTATCAGTGAACAGACAGCATACTCAACTTTTAAAATTCCAATTGAGATCAATGAAAATTCTGGTTGTTTAATTGATAAGAACTCTGATCTTGCAAAGCTACTTCGTCAAACTACACTTATTATTTGAGATGAAGTGCCTATGTAACATCATTATTGTTTTGATGCAATTGATCACTTTTTGTATAATATTTGTGATGATAATTATCCTTTTGCCAGAATTACTATTGTATTTGATGGTAATTTCTGGCAAATTCTTTCTGTTGTTGTAAAAGGCTTGAGGAAACAAATAGTCGCTGCTTCTCTTCAATGTTTACTTCTATAGCAATACATACCCTATAGAAAAATATGCATCTGGAGATAGAATCAGAAAAAAAATAAATGTTTTGCTGGTTGGCTATTAGATGTATATATATAATTATCATCTTATATTTATTTTTTTATCATCAAGTAATCATTTGATATACATAGATTAGAAGTAGAATAAACTTCAAAATTGATAATAGGATTACACTTCAAAGTCACATGAGAGTTGGTCCTGATGTATTATCTCTTATTGGCAAAATCTATCCTAATATATAGTTAAATATGCCTAATAACGACTATCTGAAAGATTGAATAATTTTATCAGCCTGCAATGATAATATTCATAATATTAACTCTGAAGTTCTTAATATTTTTTTAGGAGATATATGCATATATTTAAGTACTAATAATATGATAATTGAAGAAGATACAGACAATAGCAATATATATCTGATCGAGTATTTGAATACACTTAATCTATCAGAAATGCCCCCTGATAAACTTGAACTCAAAATTGAATATCTTATTATTCTTCTCTGCAACCTTGCTTCTTTACTTGGTCTTTGTAATAGCTCTCGTTTAGTTGTAGTTCATCTTACAGATCATATTATTAAAGCACAAATTCTTAATAGAAGTTATGCTAGAAATTTGACTTTTATTTCCAGAATTACTTTAATACTTTTTTCAACATGTCTACCATTTATCTTTATATGAAGGCAATTTCTGATTCAAGTCACATTTGCAATCACAATAAATAAGTCTCAGGCCAATCTTTAGCGACTATTAGTCTGGATCTTTAAACTGCTATTTTTTCGCATAGGCAACTTTACATAGCTTTTTTCTGTTGCATTTCATCTCTTTCGATCAAAGTTTTTTTACTATCTGACTCTAACGACAGTATTACTTTAAATGTAATTTATCCTGAAGTATTGCTAGAAAATTAACTTGATTGAACTAGATATAGCACTATATTCAAATTTAGTTATTTTGTTAGTTGTCAAATCTAAATCTTAGAATACAATTATATTATGTTTAGCAAGAAATAATTTTAAATAAATTTTACCAAATTATAATCTTGACCTTTTTTAAGTTTCAAATTATGAATACATTTCATTTTAAAACTCTTGATAAATTACTATATGTATTGTATTTTTTTTATATTTGTGAATTTCTACTACACCAAGTTGACTACAAAAGTAACAATCAACAACAAGAAGGTGTCTCAAAACATAGAATCAAAATTTTCAGTTTTTAGTATTTTTATTTATTAAACACATTTGAAAAGTACAAATTTTTTTTCCTTAAGCACTTTATATATCTACCTTAAACTCTAACTAATTACAAACAATTACATCATTGTTTTTTACTTTTCATTATATAATAGTTTTTATGTATTTATTATATATATTTTTTACGCATCGTAACTGATTCAACAATTACATCATTACTTGAACACAAAACTTTTCTAACCCTTATGTGAAATTATTCAAGAGATAAGTATATTTATTAATTAATTATTTATTTTATTTTTAGTTTTATTTAGTCACCCTATTAGAGGGGTACAAAGCTAACATGCGAAATCTAATTGTGACAAAAATAGAAGATATATTTATTTCTAATAAATGATCTATCAACTTTATTACATTTTCTATTAATTATAAAATGATGATTTTTGTTGCTGAAAATTCTATTTAGTTCATTAAATCTGAAGTGCCCTATTAATTCTTCTTTTAATCCATTCCTACTTCTCTTCGACCTTTATGTTACATACTATGTATATTGAAAGCCAAAGTTTATCTGGCAGCTATACGAAAAGCTCATTAATTAAGTTCTACAGTAATACTGTAGTTAAAAGAATTATATGGTATAAAAATACTTTTTTATAGTACAAATAGTTACTTTCTTGGTAAATGTAGTTTGATATTACATTTATATAATGTTTTTAAACTTTATTTTTTATTCACTAACTATTTCTTAAAATGGTATTTTTTTTGTTTTTGATATATATGATATTTTACTATGCAGAATAATTTTGTGGTTTGCATTACCTACCGACCATTGAATTAACTTTGCAACCAAAAAAATTAAATCTCAATGATGCTAATTATTCTAATTTTGCTATTTATTAATCAGTATTACATGATAGAGATCTTAATTTTCAAGATTTTTTCTAATAACACTAATAGAAACATAAATCGAACTACTAACTCAATTATCTGTTTTTGTTTGTCACATAGCTTTAGATATGAGCAATAGTCTAATTAATTTACAAAACTTTAATAATAATATAGTAAAACCTCTATAGTTGCTCGCACTTAGAACCAACCTTTAACAATGTGCAATTAAGAGCTATGAAAATTACATTTATAGAAATCATATATATAGTTTGCCTCAAACTTGAATCTGCATTTAAAGAAAGTAAACACTTATTGAGAGTGTACTTATGTTGTTATACTATAAAAATAATATATTATTATTAAAAATAAATTAGCTTATATACAAAATACAATTTACTTTTTATATTTGTTTTGCACTTAATATTACTAATTTAAAAATTCTATTATAATAGAACCAAGATAGTTGTACGTCATACTTTTTTTTGTATTACAATACTACAATTAACTTAATAGATGATTCACCAGTTATCTAGAGAGCTATGTGATGCAAGTTACACAAGATTTATATATAAATTATATATAAAATCTTCAAATAGTAAATGTAGAGAT